CGTCGTGCTGCATCGCTCATGGCGTCTATATCTCTGCTTAATCCGAAAGCCGAGTTTGCAAAAGCTCAAAATGCCTTCCGAATCAACGCTACAGCCGCCAGAGGATTGTTTGAAGTTCTGAAAACAAATTTGGGTCCTAAGGGCACAATGAAAATGTAATATTTTTGCATTGCTTATCGGGATTTTTAGGTTAGTCTCAGGTGCGGGTGACATCAAGATAACCAAGGACGGAAATGTTCTTCTTCACGAAATGGTACATCATGCGTGTTATCTCACTCCTTTTTCCAGCAAATTCAACATCCTACGGCCAGTCTGATTGCGCGTGTAGCTACCGCCCAAGATGATATTACCGGAGATGGAACAACGTCTGTTGTCGTACTTATTTCCGAGTTGCTCAGACAGGCTGAGCTTCTAATAACAGAGGGTCTCCACCCCCGGCTTGTAACCGAGGGTTTTGATTTGGCTAGAGAAAAATGTCTCGAAGTCTTAGACCAGTGCAAAGTCTATATCTCAGCTGAAATGTCGGAAAGGGATATTCTCCTAGCCGTCGCCAGCACTTCACTTCGCACTAAAGTTCATCCAGACTTGGCTGCTCTTTTGACCGAAAGTACTGTGGATGCAGTGCTGGCTATTAGGCAGCCGGATGAGCCGCTGGACCTGCATCGTATAGAGATAATGGAGATGCAACACAAGACCGATATGGACACAAACCTGGTCCGCGGTCTAGTCTTGGACCACGGTGGCAGGCATCCAGACATGCCCAAACGTGTCACAAATGCATATATCTTGATCTGCAATGTTTCTCTGGAATACGAAAAGACGTAAGTCGCTAACTCTTCTTTCTGAATGTTAGTGAGATCAATTCAGGTTTCTTCTACAAGACTGCCGAAGAGCGAGAAAGTCTTGTCAAATCAGAGCGCGAATTCATCGATAAAAGAGTCCAGTGCATCATAGATTTAAAAAGGAAAGTCTGCGACGAAGCTGTTGGGCAGGGTGACACTAAACCTGGATTCGTCTTAATAAATCAGAAAGGCATTGACCCCATCTCTCTTGACGCTCTCGCGCGCGAGGGTATTCTCGGTCTTCGTCGTGCCAAACGCCGAAATATGGAACGACTCGCCCTAGCATGTGGTGGATACGCTGTGAATTCGGTCAACGATTTGACTCCCGACTGCCTTGGATACGCTGGTCTAGTGTACGAATACATTCTTGTAAGTTGTCATACCTAAATCGATATAACATTTAGGGGGAGGAAAAGTTCACTTTCGTGGAAGATTGCAAGGATGCCCAGTCAGTCACTCTTCTCATTAAGGGCCCGAACAAACACACTATCTCGCAAATCAAAGATGCTCTTAAGGACGGCTTGCGTGCAATTAAAAATACTATTGAAGACGGTGAGTCATGCAATTTTTACATAGTACTGTTTACGAAAGCTCATACCGTCGTCAGTTTGTCTAGATGGGTCCTTAAATTTCCAACTAGTTAAATAAAACTATTAGAAATAATCTCCGGACGTCTGTGTCTGTCAACTTCCAGTGCAACAGTACCTGCGGTAAGAAGATGCATGGTAGGCTCGAATAAACACAGATAGAAGTGCATAGACTTAGAATAAACATAGAAAACCAGACAAATTTAGGTGAATAGTCAACACAGCGCATATTATGTTCTCAGTATTTTGTAACTGTTGATAAATGAAGCTGGGTTGGAGGCAGTAAATTATGTATCGAAGCATGAACAGCACACCGGCACCATAAAGCCGTAGCATTTTTGCAATCGCTTACCCAGAGATGATGGCTCTTAATGCTTATCAAGACTGGGACGCCATTCCTATTTGAGTCTAGGTGATTCTTTACACTTCTGCTCTGATCTGAGGCGTCTTAGCGTATCCCGGGTAATGCAGCTCTGTTTACGATAAACTCTGCGTGTTCGAGGAACATATGGATACCCTTTTTGCATAGCACGTGTACCCGGTGCGTCCATACCTTGTCTGGTCGGCCTGGGTGTCTGGTTGTCCGCAAGCATTTATGACCATGGATCTGGCAGTTTTAACCCAACCTCTTCTTTCGGCAAAGTCCGAATGCAAACGCCCAAATCACATTTCTCTGATAATGTCGGGCTACAGCAGCCGTGGTAGTGAGTGTTTTGAAAGCACCACGATCGCCAAACAAAATCCCGAGTGTCAGAATCATAAAAAGTCACCAAGAGGGAAGGGGGATGTACAAGAGCTTCGAGTTACTGTCTCAGGTGGTAATGGCGAGGTAAATGTGCGCTCTGGTAATAATTAGGTAAGACTATAAGAGTTGAAATTTGGTGTCAGCATTTTATAAGCTTGTGGATGTGATTTGAAGTCCGTCTGAATGAGGGGTGGCGTGTTTAGTTGCGCATATTTCGGTCTGTTAAACTGTGAGGCCAGTGCGTCAGAAACTGCTAGTAGTGTGTGTTAATGACCTTAACGCATCATAACGTTGAACAAAAACACTGGACACTGTACTAGTAGTTGTCGGCCATATTAGAAGTTGGAATAACGAAAGCAGCACTGGATCGTACAATTACCAATGGGTTGCGTTTATTCAATCTCAATTAGGAGATCGTTCCCAGACAATTTTGATTAAACATTGGCGTTTTTCGCCCGTCTTTCACTAGCACCGCTGAAAATTTAATCTTGCAAAAGACCTGGTTGGAGGAATGCCAAATTCGATATACCGATACAAGGTGTCGCGGCTGACCATAAGTCTTCTGAATGTTCTTTAGAATCCTCACACCGTTGATTCAAACTATTATCTACGTTATCTGTTTGGGAGTAACTTCGCCAATATACGTGGGAAAATGCCCGCTCACAGCTCATAGCCCCTAATCACGAGGGGTCTTCTGATCAAGGATGCACCACAACAATAATTCAATTTTCGCTATGTTTATGGATGCATCTGGTTATTTAGCGTTCGCCTTGGACGGTTAATTATATAGGTTATCATAGCTTGACACTAACAAGCCGATATTGTCAGCGCAAAGAAGGGGCACGATCGCTTAAACGAAATCTCCATTAGTTTAGCGCTTTAGGATCACACTTGAATCCATAATCAGAAACGGATTCATATAGGGGTATGGAGTTGCGCAGCGTATTCGGTCAGCGGCCTGGTGTATATTCAGCACTCCTGAAACGGCGCACCATTTTTTTGTCAGTAATCCGGCCAATGTGTTCGCCTCATAGGCTGCGCTACAGCCATCTTTATAAAAAGTCGCAAAACGATACACCGCTTAGCTTTTTTATCCGACACAGGGCCCTGACAACAGTTCTATTTTTTCTACCAATCCGCATAGTCTATTTCCTTAATTACCATATAAATGTAAAGGTCTGATGAGAATTATCGAAAACAAACGTATTTTCGCCAATTCATCTTCTAATTCTTTGTTGTTATTTAACAACACACGTATGGAACTAATGCAATTTTGGTGTTCCGTTTCTTCCCGAAAAGGGTGTGTGGTACCGGGTGCTGGCGCTTTCGAAATCGTTGCCCATCGCGCCTTAAAGAAGTATGAGGAGACAGTCAAAGGCCGAGCGCGATTGGGTGTTCGAGCTTTTGCCGACGCCCTCCTCATCATACCCAAGGTTTTGGCTAACAATTCTGGCCACGACCGTCAAGAAACAATAGTTCGTCTCATAGAAGAAGCGGCTCTGGTTGAGGCGCGCAAGGCACCACCTAAGGAGATGGTCGGTCTTGACCTGGCTACCGGGGAGGTGATCCAACCTGCTCAACTGGGCATCTTTGACAACTACAATGTGAAGAAGCAAATTGTTGGATCCGCGTAAGTTTTATTCTCTTGTTGGAGCAGAGGCGTTTAATTGCCACTCATCATGCTAGTGAAGGAACGAGCATACGTATGTTTTTAATAAGGCTATTGCTTCATGGTACCTTTCACTTTACTCTTAGGGCTGTTATCGCTACCAACCTGCTACTGGTCGACGAAATCATGCGCGCTGGACTCAGTTCGCTCAAGGGTTAAGGCTTTTCTACCCGCCTTCTGCATTTCAAATACACGTTATTCTTTCCTTGCGTTCGGAACTTTTCTGACGTCTGTTTATATTTACTGAGACCTGGAATCTCTTCGAACCTTATCTTGATCCTTAAGGAAGTCTAGTCTCTTACTGTTCCGTAGCCGTCAATTGCAACTATATTGCTTTCAGATGACATGCGACCGATGGTTGAGTGGACTTTGGCTTTGTGGCACCGATGCAGTGGAGGCGTCTCGTAGATGGACGATCATTAGGCTAATGGAATCACAGTAACACGTGGTTTTCGAGTTCACTCCTTGAGTGTTTTGTAATTGTTAGTAATGCTTGTTTGGCCTTTCGTAGTGCAGTGCTAGTTTCGTCACCAGAACAGACGCACCCGAGGTCAGAAGCTATATCAAAAGGCAGTAGGGATAATTCGGATATGAAATATGGCATTGACATAATGAATATCACAGTAGTCATATCCAATTATCTGCTGCTTTTCGATGTTTCTAGGTCTATCGTCTCAATATAAAGCATGGCTTTCAGGTGGTGCAGGATTGCCGACGAGGCTGCGACTCCCACGTATGAAGTTATGTTGGTTCCGGTCTAAGACGTTGGGAATATCAGTTTCCACGTGATTCTAGTAGTTGCTACTGGAGATCACTGCTCAAGAGCATGTATGACGCGTTTATTAAGACAATGAGCCCACCCTGGTAAATCAGTTTAAATCATTTCCAGCCGATAGGCATGTCGAACGTTCTTTGGGAGAACGGTCTAATGTTAACATTCCTGTAATGGACACAATACCCTCGCCCAATTTTCGAGCTCCAGCACGTATTCGCAAGTAACAGGATAATTAGAGAATGGAAACCTAACGATCCATATCAAGAGGTTCATTCCTATCATCGGCTGAGGACGTGTCTGGGTTTTGCTAAAAGTTAACGGTGCCATTGACTGGAATTCCTTGCGTCTTTTTGTCCATTGCATTATCAAGCCACAGCAGCGTTGCGTCTCACGAATTTGCGTAGTATCATTATCTTCGAAACACTTGTCAGATATAGCTTGCATGGGGAATGCTCTAGCTCATTCAGTTTACTGACAAATAAAACAGTTTCTGGAACGAAAAATGTTCAGCCACGAGTCCATTCCCTATCACCTGGGATCGAGCAGTCTGGCGTTTACTGGTCTGCCCCAGTTGCTTAGCAAAATAAGCAATGTGTTTCGTCCTGGAATTGATCATTTTGGAGTAGTAGTCATCAGTCATTGTCCAGACGTTCCTGTTTCTTCCTCGAACCCGCTCTTATAGGCAGCCACAGATAAGGATCATGGAAGCACGGGATTGCAGAGTTTATAGGACGCAGGCAGAGCTACGATAGTGGCGATAAGAATGGATACAACTGCTTTATCAGCCGTCATCAGCCAACCATCTACCATTATTAATATTCTTGACCGAAACCGACTGGACAACGAACTCGTGGCGCAGTGGGTTAGAGCGTTGGGCAGATCGTGGGTTTGGGCCTCGGGTGGTATGCCACCCGCAGGTGGGTATGGCTGGCTCATGATGCCTAACAAGCGAGAAAGCCCCATTTCATTCTCCCTTGTCTTTGTCGGGACTTCTTGCCCTTGACTGCTAGTCGATAGGCGACTGGGTCAAAAGCTCCGAGACACGACGGGATCATCTGATTCTGTTCTGCAAGCGATTAGACGCCATCGCCATATGGCTAATGAAACGGTTCGATACCATGGGTTCCTGAAGTAGAAGGAATCGGAGACCAACGGCTTCACCTAACGCTTGGTATTAGGTGATGATGATAGCGTTTGTCGGATTCGTCTCAAATTTTATTACAGACACTCAAGTGAAGCTCGGTCAACTTACGTCGAAAATTGTGCCAATGTCGAGCCGGATTAACAAATACAGGCCCCGCTGCATGAACTCATTCAGCGCGTTGTAACGTGATCGCAGCGGGGCAGCTGGCTATCAACTAGCCAGCGAGGACAGTAGGTACGCAGAAACTTATTAGACCGGCCGTGACACAGTTCCTCATGGTTCTTAAATCAGAAGATCGATCGTGATGCATTGAGGGAATTTGGAGTCAACAAGGTCCTCGCTATGAAGGTAGCCAACAAGACACACCGTAGACTTAGTGGTGGATCACCAGTTTTACGTCTCTTGTAACTGAGTACTCAGGTGCTCGACCAATGCATATTGAAAGCCCAGAGAAAAACGTCGACCCCATGGCATCTCATTCAGTGGGTCAGCACAATTCTTCGATGAGCTTCTAGTAACAGGTCTTCTGACACACGAGAATGGGTTTTTTCTTCATTTCACATCTCTGTTTTCTCTTGGCGCCATGATCTAGACATTAAAACTGTCAAAATACTTTTGGACGGCAAATAAGACGAAGTAGAGATTCAATTCGCAAGCGCAAAAATTACGAGACTTGACCCTAGAAATTACCTCACGTTTGACGAAACAATCCACAGCCAAATGAAATACCTTAATTAGTTTACCTATTCCTGTACTCAGTTAGGCTGTCGTACAACGGATAAAGTCGCTGGCTATCCAACACCATGGACTGAAATTCTAATTTCCGTTTGTGAATGATAATTTTGTCGTGATCTAATGAGATATCCAGACGCCCTTGTTTCGGGAATACAGTTCACGGTGGAGGAGGAGAATGATCTGATAGCATTTTGGTGTTCTAGTCTGTCGCAAAGACTGGCGGCCAAAAATTCAAGTAGCCAGAAAGGGTAACTACACGCGGCAAGCATTGAGCTTTACCAGCAACCGTCAAGACAGACTTATGTTAGAGTGCTTTGTCGGCTTATAGAGAGGCATTTCAATGAAGAAAAAGAAGGTAAGACAGATTGAGTACAATTCCTTTGAAAAGTAGTCAAGGTAAATGGCCTTCCGCGCAAATCTGGCTATCGGTGTATGTAAAGAGAGAAAAAACGCTTTATTTAGAAGGCGAACATCCAAAATGTTCGGGAAAAATGGCTCCATTTACATTCTATTATGGTTTATCTCAGCTTTTGGATTTCCACTTCGTTACACGTGAGCTGGCAATCTAGGAATGGGAGTATAAAGTGCTGATACACCGATGTACGGCAGGACATACGTCGGAATCTTTCCTACATAGTACAGGAAGATTTTGCAGCCCTTAATTCAGAGTGGAGTGGATGGGCAGCCTCATCAATAATGAGATCAGCAAATAGTTTGATCGTTGTAAAGTGTCGCTGTGTTACATATAAGCCAAAATAAGCATAAGAGATAACGGCAGTTGTGGAGAGCAGTCGGAAGATACATTTAAAAATCAACACGTACTTTTTTACTTGAGTCTGGAAAATAGCCAGAGAGCATTAGAGAATCAGGGGAAGAATGCAGGCATCTATAAATTGCCTGATTAGGACTTAAGGTGTGCGATATTAACTTACCTGACGGATATAATATATAAGTTTACGAATTTCAATGAAGAGGGCTCAAATATAAAGAGTAGATAAAGGATTCGGTGTCAGTATAACACCAAAGTACCAAAAAATATATAATTGGGCACGATTGCTAAGGCTTCAGGACTGGAAGAGGGTCGTATGGCAGAACACATTTTGTACTCGGTTACCAGAGATCCTGCAGTCGTAACCAAAGTAACTACGTCGGAGAACTTGGACGATTACTATCGAGGTGGGCATCCGAATGTCAATAAGTAGGGAGGCGGAACGACGCCGAATATCAAGTCGTTGCTCAGAATGCTAGATCCGGCAACGTTTGCATCGGACGAAACCGGAAATCTTGCCAGAGGTTGCAGCTGCCTGCCTCCCCAGCCGCCTCAACCCTGCTTCTCTGACCATTCAGGAACCGAATGATCTTCCCTCCTAATTTGTAAATAAAACTTTGCCCGGACGAAATATGTACTCGTTTGATAAGGGTGTAACTGAATATCAGCTTTGGTGACCACGGCGGTGAGCTAAGTGCCTGCATAAAAAGCCAAGGATGAAATCACGACCATTGATGACTTCAATGCGTGTGTCCAAGCCGGGAGCGCGCCAGGTAAGAGCATCTGGCATAAATACAGGCGATGCTAAATTTCAAAAAGTGTGCGGGTTGCTAGCGACTGCATCTTGCGAATACTACACCTCTTCTCCGCTGTCTGCAGTGACTGGAAGCATTGTTTTTCCGTAAGAGTTATTTCAGTCAATTTTCTACTGGTAGAGCGTGACTTCTAAACCCCTTAACGCTGTCCTACACGTTATATGATCAATTTCGCCAACGTAAGAAGGGAGAGGGCGACGCATCGCGTGTCGAAGTTCGCGTTAAACGGAAGTGGTGCTTCCGCCAGTCTCAGGCCTTCCAGTAGGTTGGACTCGAACAGACTTGTGGTAGATGCGGCTCCTAAATCGGCCCATGTGGTAAATGCGCTGGGCCAACACGGGGGCGGGTGGTGGTGCAGATCAGCGCAGGACAGACGTTATTGGGCATGCGCAGCCATAGTAAATGCGACATATGGGGGCGGGTTGTGGCGGCACGCCTAATTGCGGACTTATTGAGGGGCATGTGGGGAAATAGAGAAAACCCATTGTCACTACGATCTTCAGGCCTGGTTCTATAGGAGAAGAGAAGTCGGTGGGAAGCCAGAGTGGTAAGAACAGTTTATTCTGTACAGAAGGAATGGAATA